CCAACATCACACAGAAAATGGATTTCAAAGCAAAAATGGCTAATGCTAATTTTCTTGATATGTGATATAGATTGATTTTTCTTTTATTCTTGCTAAAATTCCTCCTAAACTCTAATTTCTGCCTGTGATGAACATAGGTTTGTGTGTAGATATGGCCAGATGTCTTTGAAGAAGAAATTTCCCTTCCTTTGTTTTTCCCTGGAATTACACATTGCTGCACTCACAAGTTCTCTTTTAATCCTTCTTTCTAGAACTGAGAAATGTCCTATAAACTTCCAGCTTGCTGTAGACTTGGTCAGTTAAACTTCTTCTCATGTGTGAATAAAAAAAGGTTTTTTTTAAAGATCTATATGAGCAATTAAAATATTTAATAACTAAGGAAAATATAATTAAATGATTATAAAGAGTAAACAGAAATATTTATAAACGTGATAATGCAAAGACATGTTACATCCTTTGTCATTTACAAAGCTGACTATAGCCATCTGGTCACATGTCTAAAATTCTTTAAAAAAAAAATCTTACATGCCATTAAAAAGTTTAGAACAAAGTTAAAATCAAATTAATAAGTTAGAAAAACATCAAATACTATATTATACCTTTTTACTATTCAACAAAATTTCATGTTTTAAACATTCTTTCTACTCGATCAAGTTACTTCTTTTTTAATTTACTTTTGATTTTTTGTTTCTAAGAGCTCTTTTTTTTTTTTTGAGAAAGATTGGCCCTGAGCTGACATTGGTTGCCAATCTTCCTCCTTTTCTTTTTTCTCCCCAAAGCCCCAGTACATAGTTGTATATCCTAGTTGTAGGTCCTGCTAGTTCTTCTATGTGGGATGCCACCTCAGCATGGCTTGATGAGCTGTAGGTAGGTCCATGCCCAGGATCTGAACTGGCGAACCCTGGGCTGCTGAAGGGGAACCCATGAACTTAACTGCTACAAAACCGTGCTGGCCCTGATCAAGTTACTTTTACATCAAGTAACCAGAAGATGGGACACAGTTGGGTGGGCACAATACCCAGCACTTTACATCTTCTCACAACTGGAATGGCTTTGTCATCAATTCACTTACCCACTACCCTGGACTGCCTACTAGTTCTGACAATACAGCCGACTCCTTCCAATTGCCAAATCCCAGGAAGCTTATATATCACCTTCTGTTTTCTTCCAAGTCCAATTACAAACCTGCCTCACATTTTATATCAGGGTCTTGAAACTTTCTTGAGGAGAGTCTCAGTAGCAGAAACTTCTAGCCCTTAAACATGAGCCCACTGTGGCTAAGGCAGTGTTTGTTGAGGAAACCAACAGGACTGTATACTAGGAGAGAGGAAAACTCTATATTTATCCCATGCTGAGGTTGTTAAACCTACCAATAGGGAAAGGAAGAAATAACATTCAGAGATTTTATGGAGAATAACTTGGTAAACAGAAAAGCTGGGTAAGAAAGCCTACAAAGATTTCTGAAGTTAGACTCTGGGTGATTAAATATAGACATCAAAAAAGGAGTGAGCTGGGAGGAAGAGGTTATTCATTGTAATTTAAATACCTGGAGACACAGCTGCTTCTGTGTCTTTGGACCAATCTCAGTGAAGATGTTTACCATACAAATAGTAAAAGCTGAATATATGATGAATGAATGAATGAACAAACTTATTATATCAAGAAGAAATTCACAGTGTCTTGCATTTTGATTATTTAACTGTCATTGCTAGTCAAACAAGTGCTTGTCAAACAAGCACTTCATGTTTTATACCCCATACCATAACATCCAGGACAAGAGAGAGCATCTCTTTCCCCTACCATCAAACACAAGAATCAGGCTTCATATAAACTGTGCCACCATAGAGCAGGTGCCTAGCCCTGAGCCACCACTCTGAGCAAGGATCAGTGGGGTTGATACTATGATTTGCTTTAATTATAGGTTACCTTTCATCCTTTAGCCTCTCACATTATCAAGGATGCTTTCTCATGATCACCTTAGGCTTATCAGGGTCCAGAACTACAGATGAGGATGGAGTCAACCAACTAAAAATCACATGGCTGCTATGTGAGGGTGACAAGGTAGACTGGAGCCTAGAGAAGCAGCCAACCAGTCTAATCCAGATAAGAAGATAGCAGTGGTCCCACTGCTCACTCGCCCGCATCCCAAATTTTTCACCTTTCCTAACTTTCCCATCTCAACTTTATTTTCCCAAAATTTCCACATATGCAGCTGCTGCCACCTGCACTGGATACCTCTGGATATTCTCCTGGCCCTGGGCCCCCTTTTTCACCCCCATAAACAAATTACAGTTAAGCCCTTTCCCCTAGTTCAACCCAAATAAATCACTGTACTAAGAAACTAAGATAGAAACAACAAAGAATGAAAACAGTAAACTATAGAATGAAATGAGGAAGGGAAAATTTTCAATCTCAGAAGATAGTGGTGATCTTTCTCTTCCCCACTACTTTATACCCAATATGTCCCTACTGCATAGTAGGTGTTTAAGAAGGTTTGTTAAATTAATTAATGGATCCTAAAGTAATTGAAGTTTAGCTGTGGATATCTCAACTCACATTACCATTCAGGGTCATTAGTCATAAAAAGTCAATCTTCAATATTCACGAATTCTGTATTTGCTAATTAGTCTACCTGTTAAAATTTATTTGTAACCTCCAAATAATTACTCACAACCCTTTCACAATCATGCATGGACATGTGCAGAGTGATGCAAAATTTGTCACGCTCCTCTCTCATTTCCAGCTGAGGTCAAAGAAGGTGGCAGTCTGCCTTCTTCCTTCAGTTCTCACACTGTAAACAAGTGTCCTTTTCATGGTCTATTGAATGCCACATTTTCTGCATTTTTGTGCTCTTGCTTGGTCACTTTCCCATTTAAAATGGCCCTGAGGTACAGTGCTCAAGTGCTGTCTAGTGTTCCTAAGCACAAGAAGGCTGTGATATGCCTTATGGAGAAAATGCACATGTAGACAAGCTTTGTTCAGATATGAGTTATAGGGTTATGAGCCATTAGTTCAGTGTTAATGAATCAACAATGCAGTAACTCCAGAAAAAGGAAGAGGAAATTCCCTCATCTGTATGTGGAGGGACCCCAGAGAGTGCTAAAGCAATATCATTAATGCTTTGGTGAAGCTATGGAAAGATGGAAAATGAGATAGATTTGTGGATTAATGAGATGATGATTGCTTTTTGTTTGTTTGTTTGTTTTTAAAAACATAGTGGACAGCAGAGCTGTGTGGATGAAAGTCCAAGGAATTTATCATCATATTACCCAGGGTTGGGAACATGTTAAATAATGCTTGGCTGATGTTTTATTATAAAGGAATACAGCATATAATAAATATATCATTTGGAAATACGTATATTAAATAATGTGTCTTTAAACAGAAATGCACATAAAATGTATTCATCAGTTGACACAAATGTTCTGACCAGAGGCTCACAGGAATCTAACCTTGTATTTCCCACAGGAGAGGTGGCTCAATAGTCACTAACTCAGTGTTCCCAGTGACTAACACAACAGCCATGAATAGTGACAATGTGCTGTATGTACTCTCCTTGCCTTGATCTCACTTCAATCCTGAGGATTAACACTCTTGTTCTCTTTCTTGACTAGCTTTTTTTTTTCCTCAGTGCTACACCTTGCACTACTACCTCTCAGGCATCACATATATCAGTATTTCTCAAATTTTAATGCACCTTATCAATCCTCTGTTGATTTTGATAATGAAAATTATGATGCATTAAGTCTGAGACCCAAGATTCTACATTTCTAACAAGCTCCAAGGTGATAACTCTGCTGCGTGTCCCAGAATCACACTGAATAGCAAAGACCTACATTCTACCTTCTTCTTTTTGATTAGAATGCTTGGAGCAATAGTTTCACCCCAAGAGGGCTCTACAGTTAAATAATAAGAATGGTCAGAAACAATATTTTGTTTCTCCTCAGGAGCTCGGAGAAGTCATGAAGGGACTAGGGAAGTGTGAGTCTCTTGGGCAAGTGAGACTTTTAAGAGGAAGAGCTTCAAATGTCTTAACTACTGCAAATATGTCAGGAAGGAAAAGAATAAGAAAAGTCTATAGGGCCGGCCCTGTGACTTGGTGGTTAAGTGCACGCGCTGCGATGCTGGTGGCCCGGGTTCGGATCCCGGGTGCGCATCGAGGCGCCGCTTCTCCGTCCATCCTGAGGCCGAGTCCCACATACAGCAACTGGAAGGATGTGCAGCTATGACGTACAACTATCTACTGGGGCTTTGGGGGGAAAAAATAAAATAAATAAAATCTTTAAAAAAAAAAAAAAAAAGAAAAGTCTATAAATTTTGCATAAATTCAACACAGCTATTTATTTAGAACATATTACATGCAGGTAAGACACTTTCCCAAGGTTATAAATATTTAAAAATGTGGACTTTGCTCTCAGGAAACTTAAAAATTATAGGAAGAAAAGGAATCTAAATAGCTGCAACACATGGCAAGAAGTGAGGAGTAGATTTGGCAAAGTACAGTTCAAGTGTGCTGGGAGTTCAGGCAAGGAAAACACTGCTTCCACCTGTAACAAGGAAGACCCTCTGGAAGAAGTGATATCTGAAATAGAACAGATGACAATTAATATTTGAATGTGTGGAGGCTGCTAGGACCTCATTCAATTCAAAGTTATAATTTGAGTTTTAAAGTCCCAGAACCCAGGCCAGAACAACAAATCCTACAAAACTACACCTGGCTTATACTGATAACTGATCATTGACCAGAAATAAACAACAACAAAAGTTCTACAAGGATAATCGAAAGGATGTCATCACGTTCTTTGCATTTAGATACATTCTGAGCCCCTGTGTTGCTGGGGTCCCATTCCAAAGGGACAATAGTACTTGGAGGTTCACAGCGTGTCTGACAAAAACAAAGAAGGAAGTCACTGTGCATGAAGTGGAGGTGAGAAGTGAATTGTAAGAAGGAAGAGGACTGAGAGGGAAGACTGAGGAGAGAGAAAAAGAAAAGATGGAAGACAAGTGAAGAGTGGGGCAAAGAGCAGGAAGGATGGATACAAAGAACTCACCAGCGCTTCCTAAGCCAAAATGCAAGACCTGTCAGAAGCACCAGGAGCACTATTACTGCCAAGATGATCAACCCCACGGAGCTGTGATGTTCTGAGGATTTGGATGCACACAAGAATATCATTTCAAATCTACTCCATTTTATTGCATTTCCCTGGTCTTCTTTTGTCCCCTTGAGTGTCTGTGTCACCAATCTCCTCTGTCTCTATTTCTTCTCTCATCCCTTTTCGGAGATGGATCCTTCGTCTAACCCCCAACATCCTCCTACATCAGCAGGTCCCTCATTTTCCACTTTTCTATTTCTTGGATAAAACTTACTTTTAATTTTTTGGTTCTGAAGTCCCTAGAATCCCAAATTTTTCATCTAGTTCTCCTGCTCTGCTTGAGGACCACCTAGTCCCCTTACCAGCTTGGGCTCCAGTTCTTTCTTACCCCGGTAGAGGATGATGTCCTGGCCTCCTAGACTGCTGTGTCTTACACGGCAAGACAGGCCAGCTGCCTCAGTGACTTCCACATCCAAGGACTTCCGAAGATACCATGTCCCATCCGCATTGGGCAAGACGTCACCTCGCTGAGTGCCCAGATGCTCCTGCTCACCCCACATCCACATCACCCAAATAGGCTTTGGGTGGAAGCCAGAGACATGACAAACCAGCATCAGACGGCCAGGACAAGGACTGGGGCCAGTGGACAGCCAGGCCTCTGGCATTACTGCAAAGGACAGGAAAGATATTCAGATGAGGTCTCTAACAGAGACTTAGAGGTTCATATCTTCATATCAGTTTAGATAAACACATCCTTCCCAACTCTAGGAATCTGTCACCCTTTATTCCCTAACCCTCTTGGCCCCTTCACAGGAAGGGGATGATGGAAAGGTGTGATTTTAGAATAGAGAAGCCTTAAAGGAAGGGTGTAGGACTGACCTTGTCGCTGGAGATCTGCCTTCCCTGCATCAAGGAGGCTCAAGAGGAGACGTGGACAGGTATCACTGAGGAACCTGTGTGTTATTTCCAGGCCAACTTTATCCCCATTGAATAGGTTGCAGACATCCTGAGCCCTACGTCCACCCTCTGGAGATGGTAACCATGAATTGTTCTGGAAGCTCATGAAATCTGATCCTTGATAAGCAACGTGCATGAAGCCTACTGAGGCCTCACCAAAGTGCAGCTTACAGCATCCTGCCATCTGGAACTCAAAGGGATCTGGGGAAAGGGGTTGTGAATTAACAAAAGAGGGAGTAAAATGAACAAAAGTGGTAAAATGAAATGAGTGGAAGCAAAAGACAATAGAAGCGGAAGGGAGAAATTTAGGAGAGTGAGAGACTGGAGCAATGTTGGCTTTCAGCAGAGGTTCAGAAAAAGAGGAATTGGTGGTAGCTGGAGATGGAGAAAGAAATGAATGACACGAGGAAGGGGCCCAATTGTTCAAAGAAAGCAACATGAATGGTGTGGGCAGAGAATAAGGCAGGACTTAGTGTGAGACAGTTGACGTTATAATAATCTAAGGTGAATGGAATGCGACAGGTAACAACGAATATATTGACAGAGATTGCTGAAGAGACAGAAAGGGGCAGAAAAATCACACTTTCAGGGGTCAAGCAAAGAGTAAGGAAGCTGAAAGTATCTGATTTGAGGCGAGGGGAAGGGGTGGTCACAGGAAACCACTAATGGAAGATAATGTGGCACAAGCCTGTTATAAACGAAAGAAGATTTTGTAAGCAGCAGAAGACATGAAGCTTTTGAGGAATCAGGGTCTGGATATACTCTCTGCCCAAAAGTGTCTAATTGCAGTATTATAAGGGGAGACGTAAGGTCCAGAAGTGAGGGAAGGCTGTTTTCTAGAGCAATAAGAAACTCACTGAGACACACACACCTCCCACCCATATCACCACTCCCCACTGAGGGAACTGAACTCACACTCAAGCTGCCATTGACTGGCATGGTTGTGGATTGTCTGAAGATTTTCAATGGAGGACAAATGGAGTAACTTTTCCTGTTCCTTCCACTCTTCATTGCTGAAGTTGCCCTTGGACCAGGGCCACAGGAAAATGATAGTACCAGTGTCGCTCACCCACCCATGAGTCTGCAACTCACCCAACCAACCTGAGCCCAGAGTTCGTACCCAGGAACGGTTGTAAAAGGATGAGATCTGGATGATTTGGAAGGAGACTGGCTCCTGGAAGTCTGTGGCAAAAAACAGATAACACGAGGACAAAAATACGCGATGGGAAGGAGAGAGAATGGAGAAAAAAACATGCCACAAAGGGGAAAGTTAGAATCGGAAGGAAAGAGGAGCCATAGTTGTCTCAGGAGACATTTGCCTGACCCAGGGCCCTGTGTTTTATATTCAACCTTCAGAAGAGCACAGGGACCTTGTCATGGATACTCAGAATAGAATGAGGCTGACACTCTCACTCTCCAGGTATATGCTGGGAAAACTCACCACACACACAAACACACACACACACACACACACACACACACACACACAGACCCTCTTGCACTGAACTGGACAGTTGCCAGAGTTCTTACCGTCTTTACTGTCACCAGCTGGGAGGAGAACTGCTAGCAATGGAAGTTGCAGGAAGAGCATTTCATTTGCAGATGTTCTTTCTTTCTCTCAGAAAAGTTGATCTTTGATTTCTGTTCTAAACAAACCTACCCCACAATACCTCTATTCTGACTTCCTTATCCTACCAACAGAAAAGCTTTCCTTTCGTCACTGTCCGCAATGAAGAAAATCTGTTCCTTCCCTAAACCCTGGACTATTTATTCGGACTCTCATTTCCCCTTTAGTTCTCTGGACCGCCTACTCAGACTCGTGCCCCCTCCAGTTCTGACTCTCTACTCTGGCTTCCAGTTTCTCGCCTTGTCACCAGCTTTTACCCTTTTCACCTCCCCCTGATTCTATTGCTATGGAACAAGTCTTGTGTGGTATTGAAAAGTCACTTTATCTCTAGGGACTTTTCTTTTTCACTCATCCAGTAAAAGTGTAAAATTAAGTGCCTTCCCAGCACACTACCTAATCCTCTCATGCCCCTGCTCTCTTCTGTCACTCTGTCTTTCTCTTGCCCTTTTGAATATTCCCCAAATATTCTATTCCCCTGTCTCACCCCCATCCCACCTCATTCACGTCTGACTTCTCATTGGTTGCTATATTTCTTTTTTTAGAATCCCCTATGATTATCCCATGTAACAGTATAAATTACTACCAATTCTCCACTATGCTTAGGGAAGAAACAGTAACCATCACAAAGACCAAAGGAGCATTGAAACACATGAAGAAAAACCCCTCTGTTTGACTTGCATTGATATATATTCACTCACCAAACAGTCCTTGAGATCTGCTGGATCAAGTATCTTGCTACACTCATGAATATACAGTTGTTGACAATGAGATCACTTTATTCAAGGAAGTTTTAGTCTACTTGGGAAAAAAACCACTTAAATTAAGAACTATAAATCTTGGTTTTCTGAGTTTTCTTATAATTTGTAGACTCCCTAGACAAAACAAGCATGCTTGAAAAAATATTTTCTAAAGTGGCAACCCTTAACTGATGTTTGGCCACTCAGAGTCTTGACTTCAGTGGTTGGCTTGAACGTTGCATATATACCCCTATTGTACTGGATCCCCAATATCTGACAAATCACCTGGCAAGTGGTAGGTACTCAGTGAATATTTTTGAATGATTGAAAGGATTTGGCTCAGACATCCAATTATTTCATAAAATTTTGGAGATCTTTAACATAAAAATTTTTAAAACATCAGTAAGTGTTACTTGTAACACTACTTAGTGAAATGAGAATCTTGAACAGGTATATTTAGGATGAATGCATACGCTAATAAACATGGAGGTTATACATAGGGTCCTGCTTAAAATCTCCTATTACTTATGATAAGTAATCAGTGAGAAATTGTGAGAAGTAAAGTGAATATAGTATTCTAGAGTCATTTATCCAAGATTCCCTTCTTCTTGGTTCTGCTTGGGTGTTCCGTGCTTATCATAAACTGGTCTCTGCTGGACATGCTGACTTCCCTGTTTCATGGTGCTAATAACTATTTAAAGGCTCTTGAATATGTCTTTCTATCACCTAGATAAATGTGTTTGGGCTGTTTATTTTGTTAGTTCTTGGTTTACAAGTGTTGGGGAAGAGGGAGAATCCCTCTCCTCCCTTTCCCTTGGGGTTCTTAGGTTGCCCAAATAATTAAAAGACAGGTTAGCAGGAGAAAATAGTACCAAGTTTAATAACACGTACACACGGGAGAAACCAGGGAAACTGAGTTTCTCAGCACAATGGCGAAGGTTTTCATCTTAAATATCATCTTCAGCTAAACACAAAGGAGGATGTTGGGGGTGGGGAAGGAGACAGAAAGGAGATTACCAGACAAGCATGGTAATCAAGAGTAAGGTTATTACGCAGATTTAAGGCCTCCCCTTCCACATTGATAAGTTTCTAGGGATGAGGTCATCCCCCTCTTCCCAATACAGAGAGGGAGATGCCTTTACAAATGGAGATTTCCCTTATAAATGTAAATGTTTGTCTGGCAACTCTTTTTGGGGCCAGGCAGAGACAGAATTTTGATAAGATGGGCTTGTTGGTGCCTTTCCTATTGTAACATATATTTTACATTATATTACAACCATTATATGGTAACAACTCCTTCCTGAAACAGGCCTTCGATGTTAAATTCTTTAGGCAGTTTGGGGGAGGTCAAATGTCCATCAGAGAAAATAATCAAGGTAAAGAGACATATTTCAGGGTGGCCAATTTTGATCTCCCACATGTAAACAGAAATTATCTCAGATTAATTTAAGGAAGAAAATAATTTTTTGGAAAGTTAAAATTAGAACATAGAAAGCTGGAAATAGTTTCACTCTCATACTTACAATTTTAAAAAGATGAATAATTAAAGTCACAGCTTTTCTTGAATCCATCAGAGAGCTGTAACATCAGGGGAAACAATTAAGCCAGAATCTAAGGAAAGACAGACTCCTCCAAGGAAATAGGGGATGCAAAATCTTGCTGACCTGGGATAGATGTCAAATGCCATGCAAGCCAGAAAGAACAGTTCAACTAAAATTGTTAACAAATTACTAAAAACTACCAGGGATATACAGAACCCCTGAGAGTCACAGACACAGGAAATTCATTTATATCTCTAGGCTTTTTTCCATAGACCTCACCAGGGGCTCCTGAAAGATTGGAGTCAAGGATGTAGACCTGAGAAATCCTTTCTCTACCTGTAAGCCTAAGGCATGACAGAGCAGCTACTGCATGAAAAAGGCAGGAAGTCCCAGCCAGATCTTTTGCCCCTATCTCCCACACAGAAAAAGGCCTTAACCTGCTGGGGGAGGGGCAGAAAGTCCTGTTGCCTTTAGGGCACAGGTGAAGATGCACTGCAGCTGGGAGAAGGGGAAAAATGGGGAAGGGACAGTAAAACATCCTGTCCTAGACTATAAGAGGTTCCATACTGCTGAGAGAAAGGAAAGAACTCTTCAAGGCCCAATCCCAACCTAAAAAACAAAGCATATGCCTGAGAATGAGACTGAACCAGAACAAATGAAATTGAACCTCTCAATCTCAAATTCGTGTGCCCGATGTCCAGCAAGCCAAACACTAAGACATCGGTGCTTGGAGATGGAAGATTTATTCGAATTGGCCAAAATGAGTAGATGGGAGCCTGTGTTTGCTCAAATCCACCTCCCCAAGAACAGAAAGCAGAGGGTTTTATAGAGCTAAGGGGCTTGGGAGGAGGCGCTTCAGAGAAACAAAGGGGTCACTCCCTATAATCCTCTGGGCCATCTGACTTCTGTTCTTCAATAGCTGCTGAGGGCTGCCATTCAGTGATCCCAACCTCCCCAAAGGCATTCTCTTTCTCCTGCAAAACACGCTCAAAAGTCCTCTGGAAAACAAACCCTCAAATCCTTGAGATCCCTGAGTCACCCTTCAAGTTAAACAGGAAAAACAGCAAATTGGTTTAATATCTACAGTATCCCTCAGATACCTGGCTTCACAAAGACAACGCCCCTACTCCCTCTCCCAAGCAGGTTAGCAAGCATCAAGTTGTTACTGAAACCAAAGTGGGTTGGCCTCCTGGTGAGTTAAATCATACCCTCCAGAAGAAGTAATTGTCTTAAAAAGTAAAGTATATTGGCAGCAAATAGGAGACCATGTAGAATCATTTCCAAAGTCATGGCTCTCACTGAACAAAGGGAAACAGGGACATTTTATTTCAGATGGTGAATGAATATTCAAAAGGTAGAGGTGGGTATTTGCTTGCACAGGCTTAGTTGGAAAACATGCTTCCACATACACTGCAGGTTATGGTAATAAGGCCTAAGCTCCTCTGGGAGAGACTTAACATTAAAAAGAAGGCAAAGGTCATAGGTGTAGCTTTTGTGGTGAGGCTTGCTCTTGCTCAGGGTGGTTGGTGATTGCATCTCCTTAACATAACAAAAGGGAAAAAAAACAATTTGGAAAAACAGCTAAATGTTTCCAAACCCATCCTTGAGTTCCTTGAGTCAATTACTTGATGATAAAGTCACAGAAGCAGTCACTGCTAGAAGAGGAGCAAAAGTATGGAGATAATTCCTCTTGAGGCACAGAACAAAGGAAACACCAAATCCTGAGAGGGAAGCAGACATTAAGAAAAACCCTCTGCAAACAGCCCTGCCCTACAAACAAAGTAATGCTGGAGGAATTTGAAGACCTTTGTAACACCAACAAAACACAAACCCAGTCAACTCCTGACTAGATTGATTCAAACCCCCACACTCAATGCTTAGCAGAAGAAAAGGCATGCTCACCTTCAGACCCTCCCTAAAAAAGACTGTTTACCTCAGTGTCTATTGTTCTACACAAGATGACTGCATTTTGACCAAATATTATTAAACACACACACACAAAAACAAAGAGACTGGAGCTCACAGGCACATAAGGGTATCTGCACTTGCACTGTAAGTCACTATGCCCAAGGGAGAGCACCATTTGCAAATTAAAGCAAAGAGACAACAACAACAACAAAACACTATGACAGATTGAAAGAGAGACTTCACAATAAAATGGGAAAAGTTTTATACTTTAGTACCTTTAAAAACATTTTATTCTGCTTTTTAAGTACGAGGCCCCACATTTTCATTTTGCACTGGACCACCAAAATTATGTAGCTGCTAGTGTTTATAGCCTTGAGTGTGGAATGGGGAAAGCAAGGAGGAGGTAATTTGGGTTTAGGTAGGAAGGACAAGAAAGAGTTAACTAAATGAGGAATTAAGTTCTGGGACCAAAAGGATGGGAGACAGTCAGAGACACCACGGGGCATGACAGATGCAAAATGAGTGATACCAGCTCAACACAAGTTTGGCATAAGCAAAGACATACTGTAGGAAAGAAGCCATATTGTAACTAAGGGTAACCTCTAAGTAACTAACTGAGCTGGACATACTTTGGCTTGCATATAGGCTAGACAATAAATAACTGAAACATACAGAAAACTGCATGCCTCATGATTTTTGACCCTTACTTAGTTATGCACCTCCTAGCTCTATACTGACATTCATCATCAATGACAGCTGAAAGGTCTGGTGTGGTGATCCCCAGTCTACAATGGCAGCTGGTCAACATTCCTGACCCCCTCTTCTATAGCCCACTGGCCCTATATAACTGCTTTAAGATTTTATATTCTCCTTAAAATGATTGTTTAGGACGCTAGTCCACCATCTTCTGATTAGCTAGCTCATTGCTTAATAAAAGTACTTTCTTTACCACTGTCTTGCCTCATGATGCATTAGCTTTTGTCTTGCAGTGAGCAGATTATGCCCTTTGTGTGGTAACAGGAGGAGGAG